TTGATTATGGTTAGGGCTCCTGGTGCAACGAGCCGGTCGACACATGAGGCCTCCAAAAAGTTGAAAATAAAATCCATCTTCACAAGGAAAAAGCTTCAAAATTTAGCAGCAATATTGAGTTTTACTGAGAGAGCAGCTGAAGACTGCTAAGTTAATAACAGACCAACATGTACCGTCAAAACTGAGGGCACTCAAAGAACAAAAACTTAAAATTTAATAACCTTCATCAAATTCATCCATCTTGTCCATAAGTTCGGCTGATACTTTTGATAAATTCGTCGTTTCAACCTTTAATGCAGTATGTTTTGCAGAAAGCACACAACATTAGGACTTTCAGTAATACCTGGAGGAAATTCTTAGGATCTAGAGAAATATCAACAGCTTCATCTTTCTTTTGCTCTGCCTCGTTTTTCCTCGATTTTTTCTTTCTCTTCTCTTCTTTCGGTGTGGCCGATTCTTCTTGCTCTTCCTCTCGAATTTTCTTCGCAACCTAGACGAAACGGAATATTTTTAGTGGGAATCATTCAAAAATGGAAAACGATTCCATGTGTACCTCTTTGAGACTCTCGACCATCTTTTCCTCGGCTGCATCAAATAGCTTATCTATGTCTTTCGCACTACATTCGCTCTGCACGCAATCTTCATTGAATCTTACCCGCTTTTTCTTCTTCTTACCTAAACAGAACTAGAAAAAATGATTCACCGACTATTAATCCCTATTTCAGTTGTGCCATCTAGTGGCTTATTGAATGCGATATGGCTAGTAGAATCACTTTTGGGGACGAGCCCCTGTTCACGTCAGTGTTCTCATCCACTCCCAGACGTATATGGTACCCCCTTCCCGGACTGGAGATGGCATGTTTGGCGTATGCGAGAGCCGATCCGGGAGATGACCTCGAGTCGCGCGCATGGTGAGCGTGCCCCTTGTCAGTACACTACGTCCGCCTCTCTTACCTGAATGTTAATAAGGCCACATAAACGCGACTCCGCAGTTCTTCTCTGAGTCAGCTTACTGCTGCTGTCCAAGCTCTGCCTTTCTGCGATAAGCTTGTGGAATTCATCCACTCTTGTTACCATTAAAATGTACCGCAGTAAATACAGCGACATAAAACGATTGTAATGCACCAAGTGGACGGGAATAATGCTTCTTAACGACGC